CACACACACAGTGCAAAATATCATGTCAGTATCATTTATTTAGAGAACAATACCTACACTTTCAGATTATTTTTTTCCATAGTTATTTTTAAATCAGTCAAGGCCAAATAATATTTTAAGATCAATTCAAAAATACCCCAAAACTGAACACTAAAACTATTTTAGATAAATCTGTGAAAACAGACACTACTTTTGTACCATGCCTCTACTCATTTGGTCCTTGCTCCTCAGCATTGGTGACCCTTGCTTTAGACTCACCTTCCAGAAGAGGTCTCTCCTCTCTCACTCTCTGTGCTCCTCTGCCCTGAATCCTACAGGTCAATAAGGATGGTGAAGTAATTATTATTAGTCTATCATCATTATTATTATTATTATCTACTGATGATATTCAGATGTGAATAAGCTCAGTTCCTGTTTCACACTGTGCAAACAGCCATGTGTAAAGTAAGAAACGCAGCTGGTGCTCCAGAAGGAAGTCCACCCAAAGACAGTAGAAGGAAAAGACGTGACTTTATAAACWCCTAGAAYTGSGTAGAAAAGTARCAGAGTTCTTTGGAATGTAACTCTYWTTTGKAGTGTGCAAACCAGGGTTTTATTTGTCAAACAGGGAGCACTTGGCTCATTAATTGCATGGGACTTTGTGCTGTTGGGGCTGGTGTTAATTRTTACTACTATAGACATTATTAAAGAGTACACCTTCAGTTGGCTAYTGGGTTGCATGAAATACTGCCTGAATACTTGAATGAACAGATACATGAATATACATCATTGGGCCTACATGTACTTGACTAAACCAAAACAGGAGAAAATGTCTCAGCACTCTGCAGCATTTTGTCCACACCACATTTGACATCAGGCTTGGGGGANCCAGTTTTATAAATCCGACCCCTGGTCTGCTCACTAATCCTTCATGCTGCACTTAGCTGGCTCTGTGTGTGTAAACTTGCTAGCATGCTGCTATTAAGGTTGCAGGAAAAATGTGGACTGGATTTAATGTGGTGTGGGAGTACTCTATAGGAACAAGGGAATGGATTGGATTATGATGCACCAAAGAGGATCTCTACCTTACACAATAAATTAAAGGGAAACTGACAGATTTATGATCATATTTTAGTTAATAATGAAATATTAAATGGTTATTTATTCTGACCATATTGAATTTTTTTAAAAATTAAAAATAAATTTTTACACCAAAATAATTTACACCTAAAATAGGCCTAGTGACGCCACTGCTGCAACAATCCCCCTCCTTCAGCT